AAAAACAAAAACAAAAACAGGAAAGGACAATATAAAAACAACTCACCTGAACTAAATAAAAAGATTATAGAAACAAAAAATGGCGGTTGGATCAAACACCACAAGAATACGACCGAAAATTCACCTCAGAACCAGAACACCAACATAAATGACAATGAGAAGCAGCAACGAAAGAGAAATGAAAACGGGAAGAAAAAAGCAAAACAAATAATACTCACCCTGGGACAACGATCACAGCAACGCCAATGCCAATGACAAAAACGATAAAAGCAAGGGAAACAGCTAGGAATTACGAAGAGGAAGGAACACCTCTTCAACACCAACGCCAACGGAAAAACACGTCACCCGGACCGACAGCTAGGAATTACGAAGAGGAAGGAACACCTCTTCAACACCAACGCCAACGGAAAAACACGTCACCCAGACCGACAGCTAGGAATTACGAAGAGGAAGGAACACCTCTTCAATACCAACGCCAACGGAAAAACACGTCACCCAGACCGACAGCTAGGAATTACGAAGAGAAAGGAACACCTCTTCAACACCAACGCCAACGGAAAAACACGTCACCCGGACCGACAACCCCAACTATAAAACAAGCCTCGAAAATAAAAATAAAATAAACTTACCTAGAGCAGCAAAACCACAACATTCTCAGCACCTAACAGAAGAAAGATGGAATGGTGGCGACAACAATAATAAGAATGGGTGGAATCATGACATTTACCACCACACTGATAACCAGAATGCAACCGGAGTAGCAATGAGGAGACAAAACCGCAACAGTCTCCTCAACGGTCGACATACCTGACAGAGGAGTGAACAGCGAAAAACGTGACATGTCGGAATGTCAGACCCTGAAATAATCAACCGACACCACAACGAAGCGTCTAGATATACGACGTAGATAAAACTAATAAAACAGAAAAAAAATAGCATAATAAATTCGTATTACATACTCGTATTTATTGTCTACTTTTTTTTGTCACACTGTATGTGATATAATCGAAGTGATCAATATAATGCATGCATCCATGGTGCGAATAGCAAAAATTCATGGTGCGAATAGCAATTCCCTTGTAATATATTGTAATAATTATAACATATTATAATAATTGTAGCATATTGTAGCAATTGCAGTATATTGTAATATATTACAAATTGTGACTAATTGTGATTTAAGTTACAACTTATTCAAAAATTGCAATTATTAAAAATTATTATATTAATTGTAATATTATGATAAGTATAAAGAACTAAAGTCCAATATATATTTAATTCATATTCTTATATATATATTTTTTAAATTCTTATATTTTTATATCTATTTGTTATTTTATATTTTTATTTTACAAAGTAAAATTCTTAACCAAAAGAAATTTATTATAATATGAATATTTAGTTCTTATTTTATTGATTAATTCATATTATAAATTTAATTGATTAATTTATATTATAAATTTAATTGATTAATATTTTATTATATTTTATTAGATAAAATTTGAGCTATTAATGATTAATTCACTAAACTATATAAACAATCAAAGTGATCCAAGTAATGATAGCAATCCAAGTAATTCAAATAATAACAGTGACAAAAGTGCTAGAGATCAATTATATAATAGCTAAATTAAATTTAATAATTTGTTATAAAAGTAATATATCTTAATTAGTAATTTAAATAATTTTATAATTCAAAATTTTTATAGTTCTATAATTTTATAGTTTTCCAAATTTCAAAAATAATAAATAACAATTACAAAAATATAATAAATTAATGATAAATTCATCTAATAATAAAATTATATTTTTTTATTATTAAATTATATATTTATTATATAAAATTTTTTAATTAAATATTATTATTAAAAATTCCAGATCTCATTCTAGCTGATCATATTATAAATATATTGTTATCTCTCTTTAAATTCATTATAATTATAATTTAATACTTGATGCATTATATAGATTTGATTATATTATACTTTCTTATTTATAATTCTTAATAAACTTTACTATAATTACTCTAATCAAATAACTTATTATAATATTATTAAGCACTTTTTAGCTCTTTCAAAGATTTATAAAATATAATAACAATATCAAATAGTTATTAAAAAGTATTAAAATAAATAGTTATATTATTTAAATATATTATATCAAATTTTTTATTATATTCTCAAAGTACAATATTTATTACTCATTGAAAAGTAACTGGTTCATTTGTTAAATCAAATAAAATAATATTAAATTAATATAAATCTTGTTTTATAACAAATATTATTTTTGAATGACTTTTAAATTTGTTAAATTTAGAAATCAGATTAATTATTGAGAAATATATAGTTATTTTAAATTTATCTAATAGTTATTAATACAAAATAATGAATATTGATCTCAAATAGTAATTTTATTAGTTTTCAATAATTAATATATAAATAAAATTTATTATTTTTCTTTTTGATAATAATAACAAATTAAAAATTTCAAATGGTGAAATAATTTTATCTTTTATTATTTTATTTATTTTATTTTCTAGAAATTTATTTTCCAATGTGATTTTAATAATATGATTTGAGAGTTATTAATTGAGTAATAGTAGTTAATATTTTATTTTGAATAATTATAATATATTTATGTTTACTTAAATCAAATAAATTTAAGTATTTATTCAGTATTTTATTTAATTATTTGTTTTGTTCTGATATAAGATTAGTTTTTATTACATTACTTTTATTTGTTCAAATAAATTAACTTTTTTTTTAGATTTAGAATTATTTCAGTTAATTATAAATAAATTTTTTATTATTGTAGATTAAACAATTACTATTTTTATATAGAGATAATGATATTTATTATACTTAGCTTTTTATTTTCAGATAATTTGATTAATAATAGACTTATAAATATATGTTAATTAATTTGAACTTCAGTTTTATTAACTACAATCAAACTCCTCTATAGTCACCACCCTCAGGAAAACAAAATTTGGTGACTATAAAGAGTATGTGATTATAGAGAGATTTTTTTATTATGTTTATATATAAATATGAAAGCAAAATAAGGTGATTATAGAGAGGTGTAACTATAAATAAGCATAATTATAGAGAGATTTAACTGTATTTAATTATTCATTGTTTTTTTATGTTCAAAGTAAAGATTGAGTAATTAGTTCTTTTTCTTTATATTATTAATAATTTGCAATAATAATTATTTGATTATTATTTGTTCTTCAAATTTTTCTCAACAAATTATACAACGGGAACAATTATAATTTAATTATCAAGTTTATATTATAATTATTTTCTATGTTAATCTAAGTTTACAAAGTATTTGTAAGTTCAAATATAAAATTATATTTGTCTTTTTAATAACTAATAAATTAATTTGGTGTGATGGATTTTGTATTGGAATATTGAGATTTAAAGCTTTTTCAAGAAAGCTTTTAGCATTATCATCAATTTTAATTAAGTTAATATTTGATGATTGATTAATTATTCTTTTAACTTTTTTTAAGAATATTCAAGATATAATATTATTAACCAAATAATTATCAATTATAATATTTGCTAGTTGTTCTACTAGATCTTTATAATATATAGCATTTTTTGATTCAATTTAAATTTTATTTTCAACTTTCTTTAATTTTTGTATTTTCTTTTTGATTTTCATTAACAGTAAGAATAATGTTTGTTTATAAGAAGAGTTTTGTTTAATTATAGTACTTTTACCTTTTAAGAGTGCTTTTTGTAGTTTAAATATTGTTCAATTTCTTTATTATTATTATTATTGTTACTGGGCTGGTTGATTGTTAATTTTTGTAATTGTGATATAATTGCAGTTAATATTTTAGTATTATTGAAAGTTATATTGTTACCTTGTTAATTAATACCCAAATTATTACTATTAATTGAGAGCTTATGTTTTTGATCGATCTTTTTTTGGAAGTTTGTGAATCTACCAATAATAATGACAATAGATAGATGATAATTTGAAAAGCAAAAATTTATTCAATAGATGAGAAAGTGTGATAAGTGAAAAAGAAATAAATGATTGATTGAATAATATAGTATAGCATTACCTTTATCTAATAAAGCATAAAATATTAAAGTATAAGGAATGGAAAATATAACCATACAAAAAAAACGCATGTTAGTCAAAGTTGTATATAGTACCAAATACTCTTACAAATGGATGAATAAATAATGAAAGAGTAAAATTAATTTTTGTAAATTTTTTATGTAATTTGTTCAATACCTTTAGCTAATTCCTTTTGTAAAAATATTATCTGCTTCTTTCAATCTTTTCCTTCTTCCTTCAACTCTTCCTCTTTCCTTTCTAATTTTTTTTTCACCGACGTACATTTCTATTGCTCCTCCCCTCAACTCCTCCAGCCTGTCCAACTTCTTTCTTACCACTTTATAATATTTTTCTACCTCCGCCAGTTGATTTCTAACTTTTACTGTTGTCATAAATCAATTAATTGTTTCTATACATAATTTGGACCAATAATAAACGAGTTACAATTCTTGGCACATGACTTGGAATGAACCCCAACTATTTTAATCTAACGCTAACCCTTGAATGTGTCATTAAAAAATCAGATGCCGGATCTAATTTTTACCGTGTTGCGAGACCGAATGCCTCTCCACAAAGTGAAATCAAAAATAAAATAAATTATGTTCTACTTAGTATTCGATTAGTGAAATATCGATATTATTCAGTTTTCTTTGGAGACTCCAACTTTTCTTAAGAGCCAATGCTTCCATAAGAAGTGCAAAAAGTGATTAATTAATGTTACTTACACATTGATCTTACGATTTGATTGGTCGATCAGCCACACGCCACAGCTAACCTGACACAGGTATAGTGTTATGTGGCAGTAATTTTATTATTTGTAGCTAGTAACAATAATTAAATCAAAAATCCGACTCGCGTTTTCTAAGTAATAGACCGTGCATTCACAGAATCCTGCTAATTTACTCTTTTACTCTATCCTCCCACTTGTTTAATCAATTTCGCTAGATTCATATCAAATAATTCACTACGAATCGGCATCTCAGGCGTATAAAAAGGATTCTTCATCACAAAGTCACTGTACACGTCATAGGTACGACGCAACACGAGATCAATATTTGGGTGTGTAAGGTCAGCGATTATTAGGAATTTTGTGCCTTTTGTATTTGGGCCGAGAAAAAATAGAAGTAGCAAACAGCAAAAAAAATTTTCCCCGCAACATTAAATAATAAAGAATAATCGGAATCAGAATCAGAATGTGAATATGAATATGAATAAATTCCATAAATTTCATCACAGATCAAATACAGAACATTATTGTATATATATGAAAAATAAATTAAAATTTTCATCATACCTGTTAATGTCTGATAACAGTATAACTTGAATGTATCGGCTTCTAGTACTTCTAGACCACTGGAAGTGATGTTTCTAACCGGTGATATTTTCGATGTTATAGCATGAACACTTTCCAAAATAAATTATTGTTAAAATATCAAAGATTTATTCTCTTATGGTTTCATTTATAAAGTTTCGCTTTACATATAGATTAATACCTATGAAATGTTCCTGCAAGTACTAGATATTCATTAGCAGTCAATCTCTTTAGTCCTTCGCTAAAATTCTTTTGATATATGAGACCGCCTGCTTTGTTGATTATGTATAGTGAATAGATCATATTAGAGGATGAGAAAGAAGTTGTTCGAAATTCTAATTTATTGTTATGCAAACTATGCAGCAATTTGATTGGCCAATAATTTACAATTGATCCAACAACCACTTGACACAATTAATTCATTATCTCGACCAACTCTGCTTTATTCCATGTAAGTTTTTCTCAACTATTTTCGGGTTTTCTTTGGTCTTATTATTATCTTGGTAAGAAAAACAGACAAGCGTGAAATTGAATGATGTAATCTTTGGTAACCGGACTTATAAGCGGGCTGCTTATTCTCCGACCACAAACAGTCGTTCAGTTATGGCACCGACTGTTACCGAGATCTTGAATTATTCGAGTTCAAAAGGTGGCTGTCGTTGTTTGCCCTTTCTGAAGGCTGTTCAAATATTTAACAGTTTTGTATAAAAGTATATCTTTTTTGGTCGGGTATGATTTGATTGTGCCCAGGACGAAATAAAGGCGAATCTGATCAATTTTACATTTTTTGCATTTGTTTATTAAATCCGTTTAAGCTTCTGATCTAACAATTTTTTTGTTTTTAATTTTACAAAAATACAGGATAGTTGATCATCATTTTTCTCATTGAATCATTCCTTAAAATACAACTTTATTTATTGCATAGTTAATATATCAAAAAAATCAATCAATCAACCAGCCAGCCAAAGAACCAAATCTAGTCTATTTATTATTACCATTATTATTTTTTTTCTAGAAATAAAATGACAGCACCACTCAACCTACGACTATGCCAGGAAGATTCACCTGCATTTCGTAGAGAGCTTGCACTATGTGAAGAATCAGTTTTCGGACTAGAGAACACGATAAAGAGTCTTGTGAAATTGGCGAAATCTAGCGTGGAGCTTGCTACTGGTAAAATTAATTTGATTTTGGACACACGTTTTCGTGATTAAGCTTTTATATCTTTGGAATATTCTTGTTAACAGTGGTTTATTATGATTGCTCGATCTAGAATATACAATGAAACAACTTCAATTCGCACAGGAGCTCGGAAACTTTGCTAACCAACAACCTAATTCATTAATAAGTGAGTTTATTTTGCGTATGACCTATAAACAAACTTATCACATAATGTTACCTGGTAATTTTTTAATTCTTCTACACGTGATTGACTTCCTTTACTTGATACCGATTATTTCAGAATCTGTACTGACGAAATACTCATCGTCGCTCCAAGAAGTAGAAAGGAGTCGGAAAATGCTCGTAAGAATATTTACATTCAAATTTGTCAGTTTGGAAATATTTGATTACTTTTCTGAAGTTACGTTTTGCGTCTATCTTTTTTTTTATTTCAAGCATCTACATATGAGTGATATGTTCATTGAACCATTAGAAGCATTTAGCAAAAACGAAATAGCGCCTTTAAAGGTGTGTGAATTGATGCATTGCACCTTTATTAAAAAAACGCATTAGCATCGTTTACCGAAAAATCTTGGACAAGTCTAAACACGTATTCTGTAAATCGTGCTTCTTTTGTATCAGGAAGTCAAGAAAAATTTCGAAAGGGCAAGTAACGAAGCAGACAACGCGTTGTCAAAGTACATGAGCAAGCGACCGAAAGATCAAATGATTCCAGAGGTAATAACTTCCCATAAATTATCAAAATGATTTTTTTGAAACATAAAGAATTTTTTGAAACATAAAAGAATTTTTTAAGGCATCAGCTGAAGTCACAGATACCCGACGAGAATTTCATCGACGGTATCTAGAATACGTGTCAAAGCTTAACCAACTACATGCGAAAAAGAAATTTGAGTTTATGGAATATGTAAGAGGCCAAATACATTAGTAATAGTAATAATATAAATCTTTATCAAAAATATTAATTATGTGCATATATTTTTTACAAATAGATATTGGCATTAATGTTTACAGAGTCAGCATTCTATCACCAAAATTACGAGACAATGAAAGACCTAGAGCCATATATGAAGGATGTGACAAGTAACTAAAAATTTTTTAAGCGAATTAATTTGTTTGATAATTTTACATAAATATTCTTTTTTTTCATTTGCTACTACAGGAATGCTTCATGAGGTATTAATTATAATCTGTTTTCAATTATATAAAAAGCAATTGACTTATTAGTGAATTTGTAAAATTAATAGGCACGCGCGCAATACAACAACGATCTAATAGATTCTCAAGGACTCAAAAAAACTTTAATAGAGGTATGTATGCAATAAGATTTTTTCTCAATCAACAAAGATATAATTATTTATAGCTATATTTATAATTATAATTATAAAAAGACAGCCCACGAAACTTACAATCCGATGCGACCAGCAACCAAAGAATTAACCAATGAAGGCTACACCCGTCTACAAACCGACGGTAACACTCAATCATCAGTTGTTCCAATACCCAAAAAATCCGGCTACCTATTCAAAAAAGGGAGTCAACGTGTTCTCCAATCATGGACGCGTCGTTACTTTACTATCGAAGGTGAATACCTGACTTCGTGTACCCGAAATGGCAAGGTATGTGTTGAGCAAATTTAATTTTTTGGCGTTAAAGAGAGATTAGTAGGCAGACATAAGGGATTGTTGGTTTGATTGTAATGAAGTTTTTCAGGAAGAAAATCATCAAAAGTATTAGCTGATAACCTTCAAGGAATGAATCATGATGGTCACATCAAAAGGTATCCGCTAAAGAAGACGAAGATTCCCTTACGATAAATCTTAGAGTTTGTCATATTAAACCAGTAGTCAATTCTGATAGACGATTTTGTTTTGAGATAATTTCTCCAATGAGGTATTTTATATCTTGTTTGGAATCATTGGATTCGTTAAGTGTTTTAACGCATAATTTTGTTTAGGACTTATGTGCTGCAGGCAGAAAATCAAGAGGAAATGGATGATTGGGTGAAATGTCTCCAGACGGCAGCTAAGGAAGCGATATATGCTGACCAAACACCAGCGTCTTTTGAAGGTGATTCGGGAGAATTCAATGTAAAGACTCTTTAGCAAATTATTAATAGTATCGAATAAATCGGTTATTATAATTAATGAATTTTCATTTATGTAAAAAGGAACTTTTGCATTATGAACTAGTCAACGGAAACGGACATTCTATTGAGAATGGCACCAACGATACATCGCAGAAAGCCAATCGACCCTCAATACACCAAATAATGGAACTACCAGGGAACGACATATGTGTAGACTGCAAATCTCCCGGTACCTAGAAAACTACATAATACTCTCATAATTACGGATGCTGTTGATCATAACAACAATAGTAATGTTTCCTAAATAATTAAAATCCCAGTAATCTTTTATAAAATATAGGTCCGCAATGGGCCAGCACTAATTTCGGCACCTTATTATGCATCGAATGCTCGGGTATTCATCGAAGTCTCGGAGTACACGTGAGTAAAGTTCGATCGTTAACTCTGGACAAATGGGAGCCTGAGGCGATTGAAGTTATGCTTAAATTAGGGAATGAGAAGGTGAATCAGATATATGAGGCCCAAATGTTAAATGATTTTGATTCGGAGCTAAATAGGTGAACGAGAAATCTTTCTTTGTCATAATTAACTTTGTCATATGTAATTATTAATAAATTATAATTTTTATTGTAAATAGAGCTGATTGGGACAAGTTTATAATATCAAAATATGCGAAAAAGGAATTTATTTCTCAAAAAGACATAAATGTGCTTTCAATCCATCAGGTTAGTTAGTAGATGCTTTATAATATATCATATCACTGGCAATAACGACTTAATTCTGTATTATTTTATATCGCCATCATTTAATAGGCATTTTGGGATGCCATGAACGAAACCGATTTGGTCGAGGCGCTTCGATACTTATCTCTTGGGGCTGACGTCGATTACAAAAATCAAGAAAAAAATTTCACAACCGCTTTGCATCAAGCCATTCTACGGAGTGATGATGTGGCCGTAGAATTTTTACTACAATGGTTCTGTGATATTAATGCGGTGGATAATGACGGGTGGAGTGGATTGCATCACGCTGCAGCAATGAATAATGCACGATTATTGTTGAATTTGATGAAGAGACATGCAAATATTACATTGAAAGATAATAATAATAAGGTGAGTTGTTTTGTCATTGATGAATCGAATGATATTTAATATTTATTTATATATTATATTTTTGAATCACAGGCTCCAGTGGATATCGCATTAGAAAAGCAACATGTTCAAGCAGTGACAGCACTTCGTCTTTACCAATTTGAAAGTCAACTAACACATTCGGAATATTCCAGTTTTGGAGTCGATGAAGCACTAACAAGTATGAGCAAACCCTCCCTTCGTAGTTTAAATCTAAATCTTTCGACTACCAACGATACCACAACCTCTAATGCAGGCAAAGTTCGCAGCGCGCCAACAACTCCTCCATCATCATCACAACCAAATCCTGATGATGCTACCACAAGAACTAGCGTCGATAACGCTGGTATAATACCACCGCTGAATACCAATAGTTTGGGTGGAAGATTTACGTTTTCGTCGTTGAAACTTCCCAGTTTCGGATCATTGTCCTGGGAGGCGATTGATAACGACTAGATGCGATAATGGTGTTAAACTTTTATATTATTTATTTTGTTCATCTTTGATTATACCGTACGCAATATATATATATACACTGTACATTATTAACAGAACATTATATTTAATGGTGGAATGCATTTAATAAATAACACAATACGTAAATAGAAATATATTATTTTTTCGGAATTGCAACTGGTTTCTGAGTAACAGATGATGACACTAGTGGTGGTGATTTTATCAGTATAGGTGTGCATGATGTCGGTGACTTTGGTGACTTTACCAGATTATTGACAACAGCACTGGCTGTTGATGGTTTAGATGTTACTGCTTTTATTTTTTTTGGTGACGGTGGCTCCAATTTTCCATCTACAAATTCGGTCTTTACCGGCAACCGATCAGCCGCCAATTTCATAGCCTCCTTAGCAACCTCTTTCCTAATCCCACCACCACCAATCTCAAAAAGAATCTTATTCATCGGTACCCGACACGCCCAATACTCGAACGACCCTTTTCCTTTACCCATACGAGACTCATTTCCCTTTGCCGTCACAGGAATATCGGGAAACACACGCATCCACATCTTTGATCCTTTGACCACTTTAATCTTTCGACGTATCACATGATGCGCGGCTGTTAGCTGCGCACTCGATAACCTCACTCCGTATTTCACGCGTATTCCATATTCTCCAAAAGCCAAGTAATTGCCTTTGGTGGAGCCTCCTGTACGTACCGGGACCCGGCCTTTATGCTTTTTTCGGTATTTCCACTTTCTTGGTGCGAATTCTGCGCGGAAGCGACGTTGTTCGAGTTGTGTTTGTGGCGTGGAACGTGGAAAACGGTAATATGGAGATGTAATGAAGGTGGTGGAAATTGCAGGAGCAATGATAGAATTTTGCTGTTTGCTTGTTAAAGAAAGAGTCAATCGTGAAGTTGTTGCTATTGAAATAGGTGTTTTTGATTGTACATTTGTAGAATATATATGGTTATTTACATTTATGATTTGTTGAGGACAAATTGTATGCGATATACTCGCCGCTGAAGCGATAGGTATAGACTGGAACCGCGTCGAAATAAAAGTTTTAAGAGACATTGATTTCGAAAATCGAATAAATTTACGATCAGTTATACACGTTAAATTTTTTTGTATAACGTCATTTTTGGAGCTGGAGAATTACAGTACTTAATATTATTTCATCACCAGGAGATTCATAACAACTTGATTTTCGTTCATTAAAATAAAGACATTAGATATGCGATCTGAAGGATATAATTTCCACAAGCTCAATATCTTTATGGCCCATGTATCTTTCATTAATGTCATATACACATTTTAGAGAAAAAAGATCATTTCAGATGCAGAATATGAACAGAAAATTACCATATCATTCAAATAAAGAAAATCCTTTAGCTCATATCCTAGGACTAATAGACAGAGCAACTTCTTTTATGAGGCCACTATGATTTTCTTGCAAGAATCCTCTGGTCTCGGAGAAGTTTTAGATTCTATCCGAAAAGTCGCAAATGTTTTTGGGTGTCCAATCATGAGGTGGCTTCTTTTCAAGATTGAAGGGGACATATACATAGTGAAACCCTCTTAGCCGAAGTTAGACACTAAATTAACTTCTAACTTCGGCTAAGATTTAAAGAGGATCTTTTCTTTATACACTTTATAGAGAGGTTTGGAGATGGTTACTATGTTATTCAGGAAAAGCAAATTCATACTTCTGAAGTCTATCTCGAGGAATAAGCGCCAATCATTAGAGAAATGAAAAATGATTTCATCGAAACCTTCAACCAATTTTGAACAATATTTTATATATATGTATATAAAAACAAATAATGCATTCAAAATAACATTCTTTTATTATCGTACCTTTGTTTTCTTTTTTGATAAACTGGTATATAAAAGACACCATGATGGTGTTGATTGTGATAAGGAGGATCATTATTATAACACCTTTTTTATGAAAATATAACAATAACAACAATAATAATAAAATAATACAAAAAAGGTATAATAAAATGATGAGAGAATGAAAATGATGATGATGTTGATGGTGGTGATAGAAGTAGTAGTAGCATTTGCCATTGTGATTGGTGTGGTTGACTTTGATTTTTAAAGGACGGAAGAAAGGGAATGAAATATATATAAAAATTTATATATATATACGAGAGAAATTGTGTGTTTATTAGTGTGTGTGCATGTGTGCTATATAGAAAAAAACCTAAATAAAATAGTCGTGTATAATATGTCTACCAACACGTATGTGTAATATGTAAATAGAAATTGTTGCAAAAGTTTCCAAAAATGCTACTTTACTTCTTTTATTTCCCTTCAAAAAAGTCCTTCTCTCTCACCCAACCTAATAATTACCATCATTGTTATTATTATTGTTATTATCACTATCATTATCATTATCATTCATTATCATTCATTATCATTATCATTCATTAGCATTATCATTCATTATCATTATCATTTTATTATAAATAAAATAAATAATAATAATAATAACAATAATAACAACAATAATAATAATTAAAATGATTGAATTGGTTCTTCATGAATTAGGATTTTGCAAGAGCCATTCGATGGCCGAGTTCACATCGCCACCAGCGGCTAGCAAAGCACGAATATTCGCTGCTTGATCCACAAAACCCATTTCTTGTAGTCGTTCGAGTTGTAAGCGAAATCGGATTTCCGGCGGTTCCGTAGGTTGTGTGGTTGTGGGTTGTGGCGCTCTTTTTTGATCATAAAATTAGTATTAGTCATAAGAATCAATAAACATTATTTTGACTCTACCAAAAAAAAAATATGAATTATATACCCAAAAGATGACTGTTGCATATTCATAAAGAAAGGATTGGGCGAACCAAATAATGATGTCGGATAAAAATTCTGTTGGTGCATTTGCTGCCGTGATAAATATTGAGGGGATGAAGTATATCGTTGCATGACTTGTTGAAACCGTCGGATAAAATCTGGATCAGAGGGAGATGAAAATGATGGTGTTGTTGTGGATGATGAATTATTTGTTTGTGATGTTTGATTGGTTTGTGACGTGGTGCTCTGGTTAGTTGATGATGTGGAGCGATCGCCAATAGGTGTCGTAAAATTCTAAAGAAATATCAGTTAATATATGGTTCGGAAAAAATGTATGTTATCAAGAATGAACAAGTAATGAATACCAATATGCCCGCAGGGAATCCAAAGCCAAAATTTGGAATTCCTAAAAACATGAAAAAATTCTATAAATAACCAAATCGATCAGGTTGGGCATGTAGATATGACTCGTGAATATTACCACCAAAAGGATTTGTCTGAGATAAAGATGAACCAGTTGTTGTGGGTGAAGATCCGTTATTATTCTGATTACGGGGTGCCCATGGATTAGGAAGAGGCGTGCTATTTATTCGTCCCTCTATTAAAAAATTTGAGAGGTCGTTCAAGCTTAAAATTTAAAATAATTTGTTGTTAAAAATTATATCGGTATTCAAATATATATCAAATACCTGGCGGGCTTTCAACGTTTAACATTTGTGCAAGACGCTGGTTTGCAGCCTCTGAAGATTGATCACTCTAATAATGATTACCCCGATAATAAAGATGTAATTAATTAGCTTGCTTAGGTTTGAATATATATCTAAGATCTTTAAAATACTTGCATGACGCCCTGCAGATTCTAATGGTTCTTGTAAAGTATGATACATTCTACGGAGATGATTAAATCCGCCGGGTATGGTTTCCAAATTTGCCAATGCCCGATCTTGAAAATCGGAGTTTTTTATTAATAATACATTAAAGTAAATGCGTGTGAGAGATAATCATATAAATAAATACCGTTGTTCCGCATCATCTCTCTCATGAGTTCAGGGTTGCGTGCCATATCCATCGTCTAACAACAAAAAGATATTGAGAATCACATATAATTTCCGATAGCAAGTGGATTATAAACAAACCTGACGAATAAAGGATGGGTCGTTCTATACAACAATAATGAAATGAAGATAAAAAAGGTTAGTTATCCGAAATAGGGAATGATAACTGATCCAAACAAAATCAATAAATAAAAAATTCTTACGATTATATGACCAATTTCAGGGTTTCTTTCAATCATTTGTCGCATCGTTGGATTTTGCATTACCATTGATCTTACTATCTCTGGATTTGACAATATTTGCTTCAAAAATAATCAAAAAAGTAACTTTTCATTATACAGACCAACAATTATGAAAGCAATATCATCAAGGTAACCTGTTATTTTTATTGAATATAGAAAAGTATATATACAATACCCTCATCATTGGTGAATTCATCATTCCTCTCATTAAATCTTGTTCGAAATTATTAGAGTTTGAACCTAATTGACGTGTTGGTGGTGGGTTACTAAAAGGATTTACAGATGACGACGACGCAGGAGAACTAGAAGTACTAGTAGTAGTAGCATATCTAGAAGCTCCACCTGATGCCGAAGAATTAGCAGCAGCCTGCTCGGCGGCCTGGTTCGCTGCCCCCCGCACCACATGTACTGTATGACCTTCTTTTACACCTATTATTTTGCATATTATTTGTGAATTTGATTGAATTGTATATTTGAAAAGATTGCCATCGTCAATAAAATTGGAACTTAAACGGTTGGGTGGGATGTTGAAATATTGGCTACTAATGAATGCTTCTTTCTACAATGTCCGAGCTAGCGAGCCAAAAATGTCGAGAATTCATGATTGGCATGCGAGATAGGTCCAATTTCTTATTCATTGGTATTCGTATCTTAATATTGATCAATTGGTGATTTAGTGAATTGTCTAGAAACTCACCATATGAATCTACCATATCCTCATCTTTTAGAATTCGTCCAGAGTACACAAGTCTCATACTGTCAGCCGGTATACTAGTTTCCCTAGCCAACTTCTCTTTTAGTTGCCGTACCGTCATTTGAGTAGGATCAAAACTACAATCAAAAAGTTTGCCAGTCGACGGGCGAAAACTAACAACTATTGATCGCTCGCTCAGTGTTTCTTCCATCTTTTTTTTCTCTTTTACTCAAAGGCTATTGAGTTCAAAGTATTATTTTCGTTTTTTGCTTGTTTGTTTGTTGAGTGAGTGGTTTATAATTAAAGAAGTAAAAAAAAAAACTAAATTATAAAATATATTAATAATAATAATAATTAGAATAATATATTATTATTATTATTGTTATTATTATTATCAGACTAAGACGACCGACGAGGACGACTCCTTTTGCTTTAAAATTAATATATATTAACAAATAACGGCGCGGCGACTCCTATAACGGCTGCTTTACGAAAAGCGAGTGTCAGTGTGTCAAGTCAGTCAGTCAGCGAGGCTCAGACACTTGTGGATGACGACGCTTACGTACACTTGTAGTTGATGTTGATTCAACGTCAATGTCAATGACCAAAATTAAAAAAAAACGTGACCATTTTCCATATTAATTTTAAATGTAAAAATTCATGGAGCATTAAATTCACCATATATATTAATTTTGCATTCTTCACGTGTGTATTAATTTTACATCCAAAAGAGCATACGTATTCCGTTTAGCTCGAATCGAAATCACTTACCATTTACGGCGAGCGAACGAAACACAATTCATAAATTATAATTGTTCCTAGTTTTGCCATAATCAGATACAAATACAGACAGTACATACCGATACATGTATTTACAACAACTTTATACCTTTTTTAGAATTATTGATAATATTGCATATTTCACCCATTACAGTACTCTAGAATGTCATTTTGCACAGTTTAACATCTAAACTCATCAATACGTAGATTGTATTTTATAAATTCAATAACGATAAACTTCTTAACTAAGAAGTAAATACAAAATTTTATTATATTTACATTTGTACATGTATTTACTTCTTAACTAAGAAGTTTATTGAATTTATGAAATACAATCTATTGATGGACACTTAACCCCCTAAATTTGCCGTTCCACTTGTTAAATTAATACAACTTTGTAAGTACATGTAATAAAAATACGCATATGTACTCGGTACTCTTTCTCATGATGCACACATTTTATCCGTTTTCTTTCTGGAATTGCGAGTTTATGTATTTTGCCAGTTCTTTAATAAGTGAATAAACACGGAGCTTGGGTTATCTTTGTATTGAGAGCTGTCAAGACTATAATTTTTCCTGTCTTCGACAATATCCTGCTTGTTTTCAAATTTTCGCTTTTCCCTCCTTAAACACTTTATATGGATTTTAACATCCGGCGTTGCTGACTTTGTATCCTCGTAATTCTGAAAGATTTCCATGACATTTATTGAGGATGAGCCACGGAAGCTTATGGCCAATTCTGGGCCAATTCCTAATAAACTTGTTTGATTTTATATTACTAATGTATGTTTCGATTACGATATTTTATAACGCGCGTTAAATGTTAGAAAATCGAAACAATTAATCAGACTCCCTTTCGATATTTCTTTCAAATTTTCAAGCAATTTTTTCCTTTTTTAGAGATCGATGCAGTGGTTTTGCTTTTCGCCAGTCTCAATAGTAGTATTATCACTCGCTATTATCATTGGATTTTATCTTATTGATTTCTACGATATATACTTCTTCGATAGAACCATAGTTCATATAAGATCCAGGATAAGAGGTAACTTCATCACCAGTAATACCACCGTCACCTTTATTTTTCATGCCACATAAATATTCTTTAGCGAGGCGAGGAAGTCACTTGTTGAATGCTGATTTTAGTGGTCTTGTTATAACGACACTCTTGGTTCCAGCTGAAAAATTCGAATGTTGTTAAATCAAATTTTTTATATATCATTATTTCTCTGTTCTGACTGGTAATGTCGTTATGTAGAGAATGTCATTATATTTAGAGGTCGTTATAGCGAGACTCACTTGTAATATGGTTTTTCTGGATTGGAATTTCGACGTTTAAACTTCTAATTCTTAGTCTGAACTTTCATTTGATTATTTATTGTTCTTTTGTTGTCAAAATCGAATCACTTTTGGTTGAAGAGGATGATGATGCTATCGGAACATCCTCAGATAATGGAACTTCTGTAGTCGGTCCTGTCTAGATCCTAATGATCCTTGCAATCCCGATATTTTGGTTTGAGCTTGCCGTCTTAATATTATTTACCGGAGTCGTGAGAATGAGATTTAGATAATCTTGCTGAAAATTGACAAAGACGCGTCTTGCCATATTAAAAACACGATAAATATATTGAATCACAGGAATTAATTCACAATTTTTCATAATTATTCAGACAGTTAGTTTACTTATCCATAACCGGACTTCGTTATTTGTTAGATTCGTCATTATAAGAAATTGAAATCGTGTCGTGACTGAGAAAATTTCCATAGTTCCGGGTGTGTGAATCGTGGATAATTTGAGTTTTATAGATATCAATATCGATATCGATATTAATATTAATGTTTGATAATTCTGAATTCTCGATTTGATATTTCGACTCAACTTTTTATCACACTGTATTTGTTATATATATGCAAATGCTATTGAATATCCTGCTTTTTCTCCTCGCCCTAATGCTACATTGATTCCGTGTGATTTGAAAAAAAAAAGTTGCTGAGACTGCAATTTACGCTATGCGCCGTATTGTCTGTTGGTAATAAACAATTTCTTTTAATGCAATTATTTGATTTAAACAATTGTTTACTTGACGATATAAAAATATATCAGGACGAAGAACTAACAGACTAACAGAATTTGACACAAAACTTGCGCCAGGAACTAAAAGATTTTTGAAACAAGTCGATAAAAAGAATTTCCAAATAGTGGTATGATGCATAACATCTAAAGTCATCAAACGTTTGTATTTTACAAAATGTATAAACATCTTTACTAAGAAGTAAATATAAAATTTAATCCGTGAATATGATAGAATAGGCCCTTTCTGAGCATATTCACGGATTAAATTTTATATTTACTTCTTAGTTAAGATGTTTATACATTTTATAAAACACAAACGTTTGATGACTTTAGATGTTATGATGCACCATAGTGGTAAGATTAGTTAGATTACACTCAATCGATGATGTCACTTTTGCAAACACGTAATATTAATTTCCGAATATTTATTGTTATTAACTGTATTCCCTATTGACTATGGTGCATAAAATCTAAAGTCATCAAACGTTTGTACATGTATTTGGTAAAATGTATAAACAACTTTACTAAGAAGTAAATACAAAATTTAATCCGTGAATATGCTCAGAAAAGACCTATTCTATCATATTCACGGATTAAATTTTGTATTTACTTCTTACCAAATACAAACGTTTGATAACTTTAGATTTTATGCACCATACGTCGATTGATTTGTCATATGAAACTTTCAAATCATCACAGTATGAGCCAGTGGGATGTTTGTACATCAAATGATTTACAACCTTTTTGAAATACGTAGTATCAAAACGTCGTAACTTTGGATTTTTTATACTAAAAACAATTAGTACCGAGAGATATGTTAATGCTGGCCAAGGTGAACATGTGATGCGTTACTTGGAGTGTGAGGCACAATACAATCACCTTTTAATCATAAAACGAACAAATTTAAAAAGTAAACAGGAAACAGGTGATTAAATTAAAATGGAATAAATCATTTTTTTCAGAGTTTGAATAATTCTGTGGAAGTTTTAGTGATGTAAATTTCAGCTTGTGATAATAGTGGTAATTAATTAAGATTTATTGCGCATGAATGAAAGCTTGTTTAATATCATTCTGAAGAAAACATGCGACAATTCATCCGTTTGTACAACGTAAGCCTCAATTTTTATGAGCCAGTATAATACATTGTATTAAAAAAGGAGATCGGGAATCCTCAAACAATGAATGACGCAAGAATCGCTATTTTATTTTTTTTTGTGTAATATTAATCATCATTAATCACGTTTTTGAATTTTGAATTGAAAAACCCGATCTTTATGATCATCTGATTTAAAAAATGACTGCTGCTGTTGAGTGTCATCAGATTCTTTCACCTTGTCATTGTTGACTTCATTAGTAATAGCAACAATAAAATCGTCAATAGATGTATCGGTATCAGACGTAGTATTAAATCGATCTGCACTGATGTGGGAATAACAATAATTGTTACTAGCACGTGCCTCATCAAATACTGTTCGTTCAACGAAAACCACACGATTAGAATAATCCACCAAAACTATCGTGTTAGTTCGCGTGGCGTAAGTTCCATGCAGTTGACACTCAGGAACGTGAATAGTGAGCCGTATATTTTCTAGTATTTCAGGTATAGTAGACTTTGGTTTGAATGGTACTGTCATACTATTATTAAAGAATAAATAAATAAATAAATAAATAATAATAACTTTTATACAGAAGACTGCGCTTTAGCAAAATAATAAAAATAATAATAATAATAATAATGAAATAAGAGTAGGACCACATTTTAGCACAAATAATAACAATAATAATACCTTAAAAGTCTAAACAATTCATTGATCAACTCGCTTTCTGATAATGTTTTATTGTCTAGAATCTTTTGGAATTCACATTTCCCCATCTCAACTTTTGGCCAAGGATCATCCAACACGGAATTTGATAGTCCATAAATCTCGCCACTTTTTAAGGTCTGCAATCTGATATCACGTCTATTCGCGAAGTAAAACGTGTGACAATCGTTTTCGTCATTACTGTCATTTGTGTTTTTATTTTTTCCCTGATTGGCAAGATCCATCGTGATGATATTATATCCACCATAATTTTCTGCTCTTGCTTCAACCTCAACTCTCATAATCTCGTCTAATGGCGTTTCTTGGGACTCTAAAATCTTGTTTATCAAAATTCCACGCGAGAGCGGTGTTTTAGATTCATTCAAGCCTAAACTTTTATTATCGTCAAATACTGTTTTTACTTCTGACGAGTGATCTGGATCTCGGTAATTTGTGATCGCTGCGAATCTGCCATACCGGTTTATCCCTAGCCAAGTACCAGATTGTTGAGGATTTTTTATGTCACGACCACCTAAAATTGTTGAGTTGTTCCACCAAGATGCTAGTGCTGTTGGTCTGGATAAGTATTCATCCCGATTACCTGCGAAAATACTGGGTGTTGGATAATAAAAATATATTAATGCATACAATAAAAATAGTATTATATATATATATAGTATTTTAAAAATAAAATAGATTATATAAATTACAATTTATATTGGGGATGATATTGTAAAGCCCAAAATAGTGTACACATTATTATTATTATTATTAATTATTATCCTTTTTAGAGTGGGTAATCTGAGTAAGAAAAAGTTTAATTTTATATATTTATTTCTGTTTGTAAAAACAAATATTGGACCCTTATTTGAGAGAAAGTATTTAGTCAAATGATTAATAGCTCGCATAGTGCCCCAAAATTCTGCCTCTCGGTACTACGATCACCCGTCGATGGAACTTTTTAGTTGCCACCGAAATGTACCGATCGTCAGGAATCGATCAAATTTTGGGGAATTACGCAAACTAATTTTCGTAATTATAATAGTATTCACACGTGAATTTACATGTGTTTCTTTTTTTACTCTCTTTCTATTTAGATTCATGCACGAGATCACTCCATCGTCATTATTGAACTTTATGCGTTTTTGGGGGAATCAACAACAAAAACTTGTCTTTGATAAGATTAATTCATTAATATTGATAAGGGTGTGGATGTTTTTTGGGGCAATTTTATAATGCTAAAATTCATGAAAACAATATAATTGTTTATTACTTAATTAGACAATATGCAGAATGTCAATATTTTATGTAATAATATGGATCGCGTTTCTTTTGTAGACATATTGTGTTTTCGCACGCCCCAAGTAACAAACATCTGTCAATAAGTTTTATGAATTAAAAAAAAAATTGAAATGACCAATTCACAGTTATGAATTCTCAGAGTGAGAAAGCAATCTTATTCGATCAGTCTAATCGTGACTTTCCATTAACACTATTATTATTATTATTATTATTATTTACATGTAGTCATTATCATGCCCCAACAGATCCGATAGATAGACTAGCAGTCACTCACTTCTCTTGGCTATAAAAGCATCCGCGACTTCATTCACTGTAATATCACATTGCTACTTGTTTCTGATTAAAAAAGAACTTTAATACGAAAAGGAGTTATTGATTATTGAAAAAAACGCACATAAATATTCACTAGTAAAGCCTGTAATTACGAACGACAAACTCGATCTTTCGATCCTTTTTTTTATTGTTAACCTAACAATCAGCGTAATAATAGACGAGACTATATAATATCTCAAATAATTATTAAAGAAAAATACATCCTCGATGGCAGTAACGACAATGACACAGACGGCGACGGTAGCGCCACAAGAAGACATTGTCAGCAAAGAAATCGAGCTACTGCAACAACCGCCAAAACCTACTTATCTCGATGAACCAATCACGTTGGCAAATTGGTATAAACATGTAAATTGGCTACATGCAACTCTATTGACTAGTACTCCATTGTTGGCTATCTACGGTCTCTATACAACACCAGTTTTGCCAAAAACCTTTCTTTGGTCTTTCATTTATTATTATTGTACTGGACTTGGGATTACTGCGGGTAAAGATATTTTTTTCATTCCTCTTACATTTGACATCACTTAAACTTGTAACAAAAATACTAAACATATGAATCATTCATTTATTCTTCTTCTAGGCTATCATAGATTATGGGCTCATCGAGCATACACAGCATCTAAACCACTTCAACTACTACTTATCGCATTTGCATCAGGTGCAGTAGAAGGTTCAGCGCGTTGGTGGTGTCGTGACCATAGAGCTCACCATCGTTATACCGATACTGATCGTGATCCTTATAATGCTCATCGCGGTCTTCTTTATTCACATGTGGGATGGATGTTCATCAAACAAAATCCACAACGAATTGGTCGTTCCGATATCTCAGATTTGAACGCCGACCCTTTACTAAGATTCCAACACAGGCATTACGGTCTATTCGCATTGACATTCGGCGTATTATTCCCATGGGCAGTCGCTGGTTTCGGCTGGGGTGACTGGCGAGGTGGATTCTTTTTTTCAGCAATCGCACGTCTTGTGTTTGTTCATCATGCTACTTTTTGCGTAAACTCTTTGGCTCATTATCTCGGCGACACAACTTATGATGACAAACATACTCCGCGTGATCATTTTGTTACAGCATTTTTGAGCTTGGGCGAAGGATATCATAATTTTCATCACGAGTTCCCACAAGACTATCGAAATGCTATCCGATTTCATCAATATGATCCGACTAAATGGTTGATTAGAATTTCTTCATGGTTTGGTCTCGCGTCGCATCTTAAACAATTCCCAGATAACGAAGTGCAAAAAGGTCAACTGTACATGATACAAAAGAAATTGGATGCTAAGAGAGTAACTTTAAATTGGGGAGTTCCATTGGAAAAATTGCCAATATTCACATTTGAAGAATGTAAGTAATAAATTATTATTTTTTGGTTATAAATCTTTTTTGCCAAAAACTAATCAAAACATCAATCAATTGAACATAGTTCAAGAAATATCAAAAACCAAGAATTGGACTCTAATCGAAGGAATTATTCACGACGTCACAAATTTCATGGACGAGCATCCTGGTGGTAAGGCATTCCTTCGATCGTCAATAGGTCGAGATGTGACCACGGCATTTAACGGTGGCGTTTACGATCATTCGAATGCCGCACGGAATTTGATGTCAATGCTACGTGTAGGAGTTATTGCTGGTGGTGGTGAAGTTGAACATCGAAAGACAAAATAAAAAAACCCCTTGATTAACCATACTATTATCATTAGCATTAGCATTAGCATTAGCATTAGCATTAGCATTAACATTAACATTATAATAAAAAACATTACTATAATTCTTATCATAATTATTCATTAGTAACAGTTTCATTATTATTCATTAGCGTTAGTAACAGTTTTATTATTCGTAATTATTGCAAATAAGTTGGATATTTTGAAAAATGTATAATTAGATTTGTCCGGCGATTTTTCGCGGCTGAAGAGTAAAATTTTAATAACACTCGAAGCAAAATTACGTTCTTTATCCTAATGAAATTATGGATCTTCTCTAGACAAACAAATTATACTTGTAAAAAACGACAGGTTTTTTTTTACAGGTAAATTCAACACTGGAGTGTGCCTATTTATACAAAGATACTAAAAATAAATAGATCAAACATCGTTAAATTCGTCAATATCAACACCAATCTCTTTAGCAACAATTTTCGTATACTCTTCAACACCTCCTTCACATTCTTTTACACGTCCTTTTCCTACCACGAACACCCTATCCGCCACATTCTCAACAAACCATCGATCATGACTAACCACCACCACAGCACCTTCAAACTTGCGTAATGCATCAACTACTGCTTCAATAGTATGCATATCTAAATGATTAGTGATCTCGTCCAACAACAGTAAATGCGGCCGTTCGAATACTTGTATGGCAAATGCAACTCTACTTTTCTGTCCACCAGAAAGTTGTCGAATCGGGAGAAGGGCAGCCAAGTCCCCGGAAACTCCGAACCCGCCTAAATGCGCTCGTGCGGTTGCTTCAGAAGTTCCCGGATACTTTTGAATGAGCAGTTGTACAGCGGAGATACGTAGATCGAGCGCGTCAACATGATGTTGTGCGAAATATCCAAGTTTTAGTCGTGAATTACGCGTGATTGTGCCACGCGTTGGTGTTAAACTACCAGCCAAAAGCCCCATTAGAGTGGATTTACCACCACCATTTGCTCCGATGAACGCAATTCGGTTTCCTTGTTCGATATGTAGAGTGAATCTTTGAATTATTAGTGTTTTCGTTTTTGGATATACAAACGAAACGTCTTCTAGTTGCACCAAAAAGGTATTTTGTCGAAGAGGAATTGGACTCGGAATCGACCAATTTATTGATGTTTCGGCACGTTCAACCGTAATATCATCTCTTACTGAATTAAAGAATCCCATTCGATCCCGTGAAAGTTTGAATCTAAAGCCGGCTTCACTTCTATTCATACCAAACCTTTCTAATTTCTGAATATTTGTATATATCGATATAAATAAATATTTTTTATCATTTAATCCTAGTCACATTAATAGTTAATTGATTGATTACCTTTTTTCGACTTGCAACCATTCCCAATTGTTTATCATTTCCACTTTCACGAGCTTTCTTTTGCGCTTTCTGAATACTCTCCTCAATATGCTTCTTTTGCTTTTCTTGACTTTGGAGCATTCGTTCCTTCGTTAACCGCTCATTCATCAAGTTCTCTTCAAATTCATCATAATTACCGACATGATAAGTTAATTTCGCGTCCTTGAAACGAATTATTTCCGTGACCGTCTTATTTAAGAAATGACGATCGTGCGAAATAATAACTAATGTTGTGTCGATAAGTGTATTCAAGTATGATTGTAGCCAGAGAATCGCTGGAAGGTCCAAATGATTAGCTGTGTTACAATAAAGAACAAAATTAGATACCGCTGAAACAATTAAATGTCAATGTGACAGAATAACATATAAAGTTACTTGGTTCGTCAAGTAATAAGATATCCGGCTCCAAAAATAACGATTGAGCTAATGCTACGCGCATACGCCAACCACCGGACAGTGAAGATAAAGCAGTCAAGGGAGAATATTGCTGTTTATGTGAGAAGCCTAAACCCGATAAAATTTCTTGAGCTCTTGCTTCTGCAGAAGCAGCACCAATCTATTTATTGTTAAACGAACGTACAAGATTATTAATAAATAATATACAGACTGCATGCGTGTGTGTAATCTCTAATTGATATTACCTGTTCAAGTTTTTCGTAAATTTCGGCCAAAAGCTCATGAGCTACTTTGTTATAATCTTCATTTGATTCACTGTCATTCTGATTTAACAGTAACCCTCTATTAAAAAAATCAAGCAAAAAGAAATCAATAAAACGAATGATCTCTTTGTTTTTCAATTAATTAATTGAAAAAATACTTTTTTGCTGTTTCCATTTTCGCTTCAGCCTCCAAAAGCTCTTTTCTTGCTTCAAATCCTCGTTTACCACTTCGCTTAACAGCAACCTGCTCAGCCAATTCCAATTCTCTCTGCAATCTTGCCATTCGTACTCGTTTAACTGCATGCTCAATAGCAACCTGTTCATTTTGTTTCTCGACCGCAGACTGAAGAATTTCTTTTTCGTTTAATAGAAGAGTTCGTTCTTTATCTGCACGAATTACGATATCTACTACATTCTCTGTTTCGTTGACGTTTTCTAGCTGTTCAATATAGAGAACCCGAATATTCTTGGGGAAACCAATTAAATTACCATCTCCGATACATTTTAAAAGTGCTTTTATAATAGTAAATTTAAATGTAATGTTGAAAATATTAATTCGTTTGAAGATAATATAAAGTAAATTATGAATTGAAATACAAACTTGATTTTCCAACGCCATTTCTACCAATTAATCCGTAATTAACTCCGGTTTTTAATTGTAAGCGCGAGTCTACAAGTAATTCCTTATTTCCAATTGTAATATTGACATCTTTCAAATCCACCTAAAAATTACAATCGAAATATTCAATAAAAAGAGATAGAATAAAATTATCGAAAGAAAAAAAAAATACCTCTTTTGATAAAGTTTCAAGTGTTTCTGTATGAAATCTCGATTGCTGAGAATAAGCAAAAATTTCATTCGGATCCGAAGAAATAGATTTCTTTGAATTTTCGGGTGGTTTAGTTGATTTTTTTACGATTTCTTTTTTCTTGGTAGATTCGTTGCTGATCTTGTCGGATGTCGAAGAAGAAATAATTGTCTCGAAATTTTTCGTTTCAATTTCATTACTTTTTCTAGTGTCCAAGCTCAATTTTGGAATCTTTAAAATATATATAATAATATTTAGAATAAATAAACGAAAGATAAAAAGTAGTATTTTAAAATATAAGTTATTACATCTTTAATAATCTTTTCGATTGAATTATCATCTCGCAGCTTTAATTTTTCATTAAAACAAGTTTCACAAGTATCATAAAATGTATCGATAATGCTATTCTCGATTCCAGCATCCAATAAAAAATTTTCAGTTGCTTCTCGAACAGAGGTCACCAAATCTCTAGCATTGTCATTATTGGATGATGATTGAGATTCAGAGTCGATTTCATCAAGAATACTCGAAATATAATCTTTGATGTCGGCATCCTGAAAATGCTCGATAGTGGTGGACGGAAGATTATTGAAGAATATTTTTGTAACTTCCATAATTGTTGTTGTTATTGTTGCGTTATCGTGTGGTGTTATTAATGTTAAAGGAATTACAGAATAATAATTATCAAAGGTTTATTCAGTCTTATATATTTATTGTTACTGCGGTAATTTTCTGCGCATTAATTGAAGTAGCCGCAGTCCAATGTACATGTACATGTACATGTAAATCGATACGTATTTACCGTGACTTTGATTTATTGCAGTTGCACAAAATCAAATTTTTTTTGGGACTCTTCACAACCAATAAAAAAACATGTTAAACATTTTTTACATATTTCTCATATTAACACTTGCATTCATCTTCACACCGAAACTCTTTGCGCCGGAAAATATCGAAATACTCGTAATGATTTTCGAGTTTGGTCTGCAAACATCCAAAGATATCGGAATGATTGCCGTCAGGTTTTTGATTAATACGGGATTTGTATTACTCGAGTATGTTTGTAAACCTGGATGGTTTTATTTTCTGGAGAATTTTATTGAAGGAGAAGGGAGAACGGTTGCTGCTGGTTTATCAGTTGGTATTGCTGTGATGTTTGTTGTTTATAGCGTCAGGGATTTGATTATTATGAAATAATCCAAACAACAAAAGCAAAATGAAAATTTTGCTTTTGCGGATAAATGATTCAAGATGTTGACTTTATTTAATTTGTTAGCAAACTGTTTTATTATCTTACATATCAGTCAATCAATTAAAAAAGTTAATGTCGATATTACTACCGCTACAAGGAGAAAAAAATGGCAATGCAATGGATTGTCATTTTCCAGCACTACCTATATAATCAGATTTTGTTCACAACATATTGCTATGCTAAGTTACTGAAACGCATTTGTTAGAGTCATTTTTAAGCTTTTTTTGTAATAATATCAGAAGCAGAAATGCGCCAGATAAATTGGTAAATATTTATTCAATTAACGAATTTATTGTCAAATTTCGCAACAACCAATAGAATGTGTTTTATGAAATCGAGAATCAATATTAGCAACGCGATAGATTCACAAATTTTCAGATATAAATACACACCAGACTCCCGAAACTTCAATTTTTTATATAAATATTAATCGGTCAAGTTACTGAAGAAACACCCAAATTCAAAATCGTCAAGATTATGAAATAAGAGTCTATCCACTTTGTATTCGAGCTGAGGCTGAATTTGAGGGTGACCAATAGGTAGAGAAGGAAGCTTCATGATTATTGTTAGATATATGTTTAGAAATAATGATGGTAATTCTAATACTTGATTTCTATTATATCCACTTTTTGGTTAATGCTCTCTAATTATAGACTGCGCCAATATTCACCGCAGAAAAATTGCAATGGTGAGTTGTAATGCTAATTTTATTTTTTGCAAAGCTAAGAATATTCTTTTCATATTAATATACCATTTTTGTATTGATAAAAAGCGAGAAAATCATCAGCCACAACAGAAAATCCCTTCGGATATTGGTTTCCAAGAGATCTCCGAAGCAAACGTTTGTTAATTTAATATTACTTTTTAAAGTTAACTCGTTAACGGATAATTTGTTGAAATCGCTTAAATTGGATAAAGATTAAAAGTTATACGTGTCACTCTTGTTATTGTGAATGTGTCCGGGCTATTAGAAAAAATTCACTATATCAAGTTTCACTATATCGAGAGAATTTATTCTAGACTGTTTGAACTCAAGTTCTACACCGAGAGTTTAATAGTTTAATAGTCTAATGGTCTTCACTATATCGAGCGTTCACGATAACAAGAGTGACTTATAGTGAATCTAAAGAAATATGTTATACACCCTTTTTTATGTTTACACTTTCATTCTTACGCAAAAATGAAGTTATGATTACAATTTGCCGTGTATAAGCATTGCCCTTTTTTAATGTATCACATGCATTTTATTATATAAAGTATCACATATTTATATGTAAACACTTATTTGTCACAAGTTATCAAAATACGGTTCATGTTTAAAGCCAATTGAACCAAAAACAACAAGAATTTTTACCTACATCAATTCTAATATTATTGAATTGAGCGCGTATTTATTAATAGTTGACAAATATACTTGATCTTTTTTAATTATCAATGGCTATGGTGCAAACAGTCTATACGTAGTCATCCAATACTTTAAGTTTACTTCAAGTTACAAAGGATTCAGTGACTTCCATAATTATTGCACCACCCCTAAAAAATTTTATCTATCATTTTGACCATTTTTGTGAAATTAAGTGATCTACATCAAAATTTTCAATTAGTAAATTTCGACCAACTGAAACTTTTTTAACCAAGTCAAAATTCATACTTGGACCACCAATTAAAAAGTTTCTACTCTATTAAATCTAATGTATACCAATTTTCATCTAGATTCGTCAACATATTATGTAGTCCCGTAGATCCGAATTCTAATTAACTTAATTCGCTATGTTTTTTACTATGGTGCTGGAAAACAATCACAGGAGATATTTAAAACGCATCAACTTTTTGTAGAAATGATATTTTAAAAAACTGACCGGTAACTTAGTTCTTTGTAACGAGCTCTATAAAGTTACCAGTCAGTTTTTTAAAAGATCTCACGTGATTGTCGAGTATAGACATCCAGCATCATAGTTGAAATTCAAACCTTCGGGACCTAATATCTTGACGAATTTGGCTCTGATCTAGATGAAATTGGTATACAATAGATTTAATAGAGTAGAAACTTTTTAATTGGTGGTCCAAGTATGGATTTTGGCTTGGTTAAAAAAGTTTCAGTTGGTCAAAATTTACTAATTGAAAATTTTGATGTAATCACTTAATTTCACAAAAATGGTTAAAATGATTGGTTGCCAAAATATTTTTATGAGATAAAATTCCAGAAAATTTTTTTAGGGGTGGTGCAATAATCTATGGAAGTCACTGTATATATAATACAAATATATTATAAAAAAATATTATATCACGTGTATTACTTTTAATTGGTTAAATTCTTTCATGCAAAAATGCATTATTATCATTATTATTTTTTCCCGTAGCATTATATACATACAGTCAAACCTCGATATAACGAATCCTTGATATAACGAAATCCTTGATATAACGAAAGAAAAAAAGATCTTTTGTTTTAAAATTACCTCTATATAGCGAAGTTCATAAGGAAACTCGATATAACAAAAAAATTTCCAGCTCAAGAGGTTCGTTATATCGAGGTTTGACTGTATTCTACATTTTACTTTATATGAAAATAATCTTCCTTCAAAAAAAAATTATGCAGTGGCGCAGCATTGGATGGTTATAGACCGTTTGCACCATATACGAAGTGAAAAAATTTTCTCTGACCGTTAATCTTCGTGAAATTATTTCGAATCAACAATTTTGAATTATAATAACTGAAGAATGCGAAAACTTTTATGGGACTAAGAGTTTTTTGATACATCAAAATCAAAAGAAAATATTTATCGATTTAAACCTCATTACTGTATTGTATTTATTTTTTTTTTCGATAGAGTAACATCTCGATATAATAACACTAAATCTCTTCCCCCATCGCGTTACTGTAAAGAGCTCTCACTGTATACACAGTAGCGACCATAAGTATCACGAACGCCCGGCATTGCCCAAAATTATACTATAACGACCACCCAAATTTTCTGGGCGTTAAATGTATATTTATAGATTGTTAGAGCTTTATATTGGGTATTTTATGTCATACCCCAATTACAATAAATCGGTCACTTTACATCTCGACGTCCAGCGACCCGATTTGAGCGAAAATACTACCATTCGATTTGTCTAATCTAGGCGAATCAAATGGTGATATTTTCGCTCAAATTGTCTCATTGGATGTCAAGATATTATGCCCTAAAGTGACATTAACAAAAATTGACCGATTCATTTTACAAATATGAATCTGTCAAAAAAAAATGAATTGGTTACTTTAAGACGCAATATTTCAACATCCAGTGATCCGATTTGATTCGCCTAGTCGAGGTAAATCGAATAGTTGTATGTTTGTTCAAATCGGATCACTGGATGTCAAGATGTATGTTATGAAATGACTTGGGTGATTGTTATAGTATAATTTTGGGCAATGCCAGGCGTTCGGATACTTATGGTCGCTACTGTATATCTTTATTGTGAAATTTCCTTTTTCGAATTTTGCAGTCGTTAAAATATTACTTCAATGACACAAGATTTAATTCAAATTCAAGCGATATCCCAGTCATCAACCTGTTTACTTACTACAACACGACACACATCTACCTGTTCATAAAACACGCCTTCTTTCTTAAAAATACATTATTAAACAACACCCATGAGTAGTAGTAAAACTGAAAATTATTTTAATACTGTTCAAAACACGATGTCTCTAGCGGCATCCTTTTCAAAAGGAGCTGCGAATGTGGCAGACGTGCTATCTCCATTTATCCCATTAATTTCAAATATTACTATTCTTGTACGTGAAGTGGTGGATTTGTATCAGGCTGCAGAACATAATAAACGAATTTGTCATTCTTTGCTCGAACGTGTTAATAACGCTGAATATGTCGCCAAAGATATCCATAATAGAAGAAAAGAATACGAAGATGACTTGAAATCTAAAGATTTTTATATAAAGTTTAAAGGATTGGTTGAAGTTATTAAAAGAATTAAAATTTTTATCAGTCAAGTATCTCAGATTAAAGGTTTATCTATCCATCTCTGATTATCGTTATTTTCTTTATCATAATCATCATTAAGATCAACAACAGCTTTATTGTTTTAATTTTCCACAAAGGAATTCGTAAATTTGTAAATGCGAATGAAATACAAAATGAATTCGAGAGGTTGACCCGTGAATTTGATAGTACTTTAAGAGATATTAGCTTCAGGATAACGATTGATTTACACACGCGAATAGAAGTTGATTCCAAAAGAGTGAAAGAAGATCTTGATGAATTGAAACAAGTAATATATAATCTATTAATTTATTTTATGATATATGTATTGGAATAACTCGTCTTTCTTACAGTATCTCGATAATATTGGAGCCGGTATTACAGACGACCATCAAAAAATCAATGAAAAGCTAGAGGTCATTATAGCCATGAACAAAGCATGGCAAGATGAAAGATTTTTCTCTGCAGATGAAATCATCGACAGAAATGTGTTAATAGATTCATCAGAGGGCAAAGTCAGGAAAGGAAGAAACGTCGAAAAGAAAATTTTGACAAGTCATGGTCAGTTAGAGGTGGCCGCTAAGACAAAATCTCTTTCGAAAGAGGAAAATAAAAATAAAAAAGATCTCATGACTCAAGTGGCAATCTTGAAGAAACTCAAGGATTGTGTACATGTGATTCGATTTTATGGTGTTGCCGAAGGAGAGAACAGTTTTATATTGATTACGGAATGGGCTGAACTTGGCACTCTTAAAGAGTATTATCAAAATTATGGGCCTCTCGATTGGCCTGAGAGAATTAAAATCGCTCTCGATATCGCGCGTGGGTTGACTTTTTTGCATACTGTTTCCATTTATCACCATGATATTCGGAGTGATAATATTTTAATAAATGAAGATAGGCAACCGAAAATTGCAAATTTTCAATTGAGGTGAAAAAAACTTTCAAAAAATTACATATTTAAGTTAGATAATTTATTTAATTTCACATATATGTACAATTTTAATTTTATAAAGTCGTCCTTTCGCAGAAATAACTAATAGAATGGCACCAACACTATCAACTGTGCGTTACATGGCACCAGAGAAGTTAAAAGACAAAGAAAAAGAATATACAACAAGAGCCGAGATTTACAGGTATATTTGTTTCTTATTAATTAATTATAAAGTTTTTAATCAGGTAAAGTATCTAACGATTCGTTATTATTCTAATAGTTTTGGAGTTCTTTTATGGGAGATTGCAGAAGAAAAAATACCTTATGAGGGAATGGACGATATTATAAAAATACGTGATTATGTATTAAAGTCACAAACTCCTTTGCTATTTTCTAATATGGGATTAGTCACAAAACCCGAAATACAGAACACACAGAACAAATGGAAAAAACTTGTGCTCGATGGTTACTATTAATTTTCAATATATTTATCTTTTGATACTAACAACAACTAATTCATAAAAAATGTTATTGCTACAACTCTTGGATAATAGCAACGAAACATGATCCGAGTTTAAGGCCAGTTCTCACGGACATCTTTAAAGATCTTTACGAACTCTATAAGCCGCACAAACCACAAGCATCACCTCGTCTTAACTCCACACATAAAAAATCCAATTCATCTTCAATCATCCCCCTAAGTCTGAATCCACGAATTCCCGATCCAGATAACTGTGATGATTTAGCTCTTGAACTAGATTTTTTGGAGCTGGAAAATACATTATCAGTGCAGGATGCGATCAACGAATACAAATCTGCTACTGGGGACCAGGTCAAGGCATATAAAGCTTTCAAGAAACACATGGAGCTTGGTGATGTGCTTGCGAAATACTATGTTGGGTATAATCTCTATTATGATATTGTTCCTGACGACCCACCGCTCGATAAAAAAGAGCGAATGGAAAAAGCCGCGGCTTACTTCAAGGCAGCAGCTGAATCGGAAAATGCTGATGCTCAGCTTCGATATGGTCATTGTCTATGGGCTGGAGAGGGTGTTCCAAAGAATATCACCGAGGCTATCAGATATTTTCAGATAGCTGCAGATAACGGTAATATCACAGGAATGTATAACATCGGAAATATATGTTACAATAGTACGGGCGTGCATCAAGACAAAACAAAAGGAAAAAGATATTTGATTTTGGCCGCCTTGAATCAGCAACCTAAGGCAATAGAAATGTGTAAAAAAAAGGGGATAGAATTGACGGAAAATTTAGACTAAACTATTTATTTGTTTTTGTATATAGATTTTATCAATAGCTGTTCGTTGAATCTTTCGAATAAGACATTGTTTTGCAATACATAGTTATTTATAAGTTTGTCATATAAATACTCGATATCCCCTGGGTACTATGTATACACCTGTGAAAAATTTCCCATAGTATTATCGCACTTAATATTTATATTCACGTATTCACGTGATTTATAATTATTATACATCGGATTCGGCTTATACCGTATTGATATCCCGATTTTTACGATTTTTAACTATTTAAAACTCCGTATATAGCGAAGAATCCAATGCGGCCGTTGTAAAGGACTTTGACTGTATATCAGAGATAATGAAAATGATACAGTCGACTCTCGATATAACGACCATGCAGATTCTATTGTTTACAATAGGATCTGCATGGTCGTTATATCGAAAGTCGACTGTAATGAGTTTCTTTATCATTAGAATTATATCTTGAGGGTTTGGAGAATTGTATGGAGAATATCGATTAGAAATATTGTTTAATGAAGTTCTTGAGTAATATGATTTATAGATTGTGAAGATCGAGAAATTCATGAATAGTTTTTGTTTTTAACATTTATATTACAAGAAAATTATAATTTATCGCATATGCGATGTCACTATGTCCCCCATTTACTAAGAAGGTAGGTTCGGTTATGGGCCCAAAAAAGTTTAAGGTTATATTTTTGATCCCCGTTGCTATAAATTACAAGTAAAATATATCGATGCAAATTCTTTAATTTAACCTGTAATTTCTTTGGCTTTTGTAATTCCTTTAATTCCTGTAACTTTTTTAGTTTTGGAGATATTACATAATATCTGAGTGATGGATGGATTACAAAAAAAGCTAACTCTAACATGATTTATAATTTATTTTATATAATTAGTAAATTGAGATGTGGACAGAATTGAATGGAAAATAAGCAATATACATTTACTAAAGATGAAAATTTACGAAAACCTAGTTACAATTTAGTTTGTAGATGGATTTTAGATATACCTATAGAAAATGTAAAATTATTGAAGATTAACATTAAAATTTATCGACAAAATTTATCAATATGCATATATGTTATATAATCATGTGTTATTTTTAGGGAGGGTGAAAAATCAATATGGGGATGTTGCTTATATTCCGCAAAATACGGTACTAATAAAAAAATGACAGGAAGACAATTTTACATATAATCTTGTCCTCCACTCTATAACTTTAAAATCAACTTTAACGAATTTTCCGGGATCGGCGTAACCTGTCACTCATTCCAGAATAGGTGAATAACAAGAATTAATATCACAAGATAACTTCCAAAGTGTTCAACCATTTGTGTCATAACCTTTTGCAGTATCCAACTCTACCCATGATCGATACCTCGTTACTTCCAATATGTGCTATTGCACGTTCAGTAGTCTCAACCAACATTGCAAATATGATCTCTAGTAAAGAAACATGTGTGCATTCACCGCTCTAATCATTTCGATAAAGGAAAATATCCCTTCGATCCATTTCAACAGTAATTTACCAATGATTTAATGTTAAAGTCCTAAGGGTGCGCCCAGGTCCTTTTGTAAAACAAATCACATTGATATCTTTGATTGTTATTTCGCTTCTTTCAGAGACTTACGAGAACGGGTAAAACATGTGCTTTGTAGAAACTCGTGCCCTGATGATGTGATGTGATGTGTGTTGAATATTTCAACTTTTCCAATTTATCAGCTAATGTTCATTGAAGATATATGGACAACTATACTGATTTTTCCTTTTATTCTGTCCAAGAATTCGTTTCTTTTAATAAAACGTTACAGTAGATAACCATTCAAACATGTGTGTGATCTATAAGTTTACAATTTGCTATTTACTATTCATTTTAAAATTTAAATCCACTACAAAAGTAAAGATGAAGATTATTGAAATTAAAAATTGTTCTTATCAACAGTATTCAAAAATAAAAATAATATACGGTAAAATAAAAGATAAAATTATAATTAATTTAATTACAACGATTCAAAATTGAAATTGTTAAGAGTGCGGATCAAATACATCTAATGAAGGAGGCAGCGTCTTATTCGTATGCGCAGGTGGTGGTGCTGTCGGATTTTGCGAGTTTTTTACCGAAGTATTATCATTGATTGTCCCGGAGTGTATTGAAGCTTTGTCTATTCTACTATCTGATAATGTGCCGCCAATCACCGCTGAGGGTAATCCTCCGTTATCTTCGGACTCAATTATTGATGATGACGAGCTTATTGGTTTGGCATGTTGCAATGCGATTTGTTTTAATCTTTCAGCAGCCTCTGGACCACTGCCTGTAATTAATTGATAAAAGAATCCATCGGGATTATCTAATAATCGTAGTGGAGTATCGAATTCTACGACTCGACCTTCATTTAAACATAAAATACGTTCTGCTTCCATGATTGTATTCTACAAAAGAAATTTAAAATTAAATTCGTTGATAGAATTATAAACTAACAAAAAATTAATGTATACCAATCGATGTGCAATTGTGAGTACTGTATGATTCGCAAAATTCTTTTTTATTGTCTCTTGAAATAGATGATCTGTTTGCGAATCTACAGCACTTGTAGCCTCATCAAGAACCAATATGTTTGTCTTTTTAAGTAAAGCACGAGCTATACAAAATAATTGTCGTTGACCGAAAGAAAAGTTCCTTCCGTTTTCTAGTACAGGTGTCTCCAATTTATCTGGTAATGATTTAACTTTTTCAGTGAGATGTACAGCATTTAAGCTCTGCCATATCTCTTCATCTGTACAAGTGTTAAAAGGATCGAGATTCGATTTTATCGTTCCGGCAAATATTACCGGCTCTGTTTTTTAATAGAACAATATTAGACGTCTATGAAAGTCCCAATCACCACTAAAAATATAATTTTAAATACCTTGGGGAATAATTGCAATTTTATTTCGGAGATCCCGAAGTCCAATCGTGCTTATATTTATATCATCGATTAATATTTGCCCTTCTGTGAGCTCGACAATTCGCAATAGACTGACCAGCAATGTTGATTTTCCTATCACGTATCACTTTTGATCATTAGCAAAGCAAACTCGGAACATCAAATCGATGATTCTTTACCTGATCCGGTCTTTCCAACGATACCAATCTTTTCGCGTGCTTTTACGTGGAAAGTTACATGCTTAAGAACGGCCACTCCATAAGCATTATATCGTAAGGTAACTTGTTTAAATTCAATCTATTTATTGAACTGCATTAGAAAGCAATCTATGTATAATCAAAAAATGAAAAGCGACGAATGAATATTTATACCTCCCCACGGCTGCCCCATTCTTTCGGTGGTCTGTTCTCCTCGATAATTGTTGGCCTCTATTTAATTATTAGTAAAATAATTTATCTAAACAATAGCGAATAAGATATTATTATTATAATTATAATTATAATCACTATAAATACCTCTACTGGTATATTTTGTCTAAAGTGTAATAATTGTTGTACACTACTCATTGTTGCCGAGACATCGCGACCGTATCTTATCATCCATTGTCCAAATATTAATAATTGTAGTGCATTGGTTAACGCCAAACCAGTATCTGAGGCACCAATTGATTTCAGAGTAACGACACATAGTGCGGTTGAATAAATAAATAATGAAGCCAGGATGTCGATATAAAGTGCTAGCCAAGATTTTACTTGAAAAAAAGAATTAAGAGTCAAGGATAGGAATTTAATCAATCAACCAATCAATAATTAATTAATTGATGGAATGATCATCACCTTGCATCATAGTGAATAAAGTTTTATTGTTTGCGTCAATTTTATCCAGATTTTGTTTATCAAATCGAAATTGCGTGTTATATACGCGGATGCTAGCGAGACCATCGAGGGTAGCCGATAAATGAGCAAAGATCTGGGACTTTGTCATCGCTTTGTTTAGTTGATCACAAATAATTAATTAAACTTATTTTAAAATAATGAAATATTTTTTTGAATAATTTGAATTTCTTACCATCGAGAAGTTTAAATCTTTCTTCAACTTCATATGAAAAATGAATCAGAGCCCAGCAAGCTAAAGCCAAAAAGACAGCTGGCACTATAGTATATGGAATTAACACCACAACAAAGATAACAACCCCAAGCACAACTGGCAAAAATGACAAAAACTACATAAAATAATTATTGAACAAAAATATTATATACTAAATTAATCTCATATTATAAAGATATATATATATATATATATATATATTTAGTTAGTTATTGTTTACCTGTAAAGCATTATCCGTTAGAACTTCATCAACAAAAATTTGATGTTTAGCAAAAATGGATAGAATTCTTCCAATAGGAGTGACATCAAAATATGACATTGGAGCACGTAGTGTTTTCATAAAAGTGCGGTCATGAAGAGAATGACTTTTGTGATATACAACCCATGCAAAAGCTAAACCTCGTATAAAAATACCCAAACCCGCAATTCCCTATATACAAATTTTCAAAGAACCGTAAGGTAGTATAGATTAAAAAATACATGAATAAAATTATTTAAAATAATTACCACTAGAGCACCATAAACCCCAAGAAAATATCCATATGATTTGTCGGTTACATCGACTGTTTTTATAAGCCACCAATCTAGGTAAAAAAAACCGAAGATGCAATTATATGAAATTAAAAGATACAAGAGATTGAAAAATAAAAAAAAATACTAACCACTAAATATTCTTACACCTTGAACAAGGAAAAAGAAAAATATAATCATAAATGAGCCCCAATAACCGGTGTATTTTTTTAAATATTCCAAATAAACCTTCAAATCAACTTCTCCTTCATTGGGTTTTTTTGAGCGGGAATCAGAATTCATTGCCGCTATTCCATCACGGTCATTTAAACTATGAATTGTCAATTGATTCCTTTCGATGGCTTTAGCGGTTGCATTTATTTCACGATTTATTTTATTCCCCATCATTCTTGTCTTACCAGCTCCACTAAGCACAGTATGATTACGATGTTCAATAATTTTTGATATTGTGAGTTCATTAATATTACTATTTTGTATTGTATGAGCATTAAGATCAATAATTCTAGATATTGTTTGCTCATTAGCGTCAGTAAAGCCAGTAGGTCTCTTTGATCCAAATTGAATTGTGTTGTGTCTAGCAGCTGATGCTCTTTTAGCCTCGTCTCTTCCTCCTGCAAATGCATCATCATCATGATGTTCTCCTACAACAATTGCTTCTAATTCATCATTATCTTGTTCATCTATTACCGGATCGAGACGAATTTCACTAATAAGTTCATCTATTTGATCGGGATCTTCTATTTCCATATATTCACCGATCAAAGAGGCAAGATTCACATCCTTAGCAATCAATTCTTCATAAGTCCCTTGTTCATCACAACTTCCACCTTTCATTACCATAATGAAATCACATTCAGAGAGAAACTATATTTTTAGAAAATTATTAGTATTATTAACAATATGATAGTTAATCATATAATTGAGACAAACCTGCAATTGATTGGTAACATAAACCACTGCTTTATTCTAACATACAGCAATATGCAAAAAATACTTATTAGATGAGGGATATTACGTTATTACGAAAAAATAAAAATTATATATTCGTACTTTTAAATATTTTCGGATACACTCATGAAATACATGTTTAGCTACAACAGGATCCATGGCACTAACAAAAAAAATAAAAATTAGAAATTATAGTGTCTTTTAACATGATGTTAATAAAAAAGAAAAACCCAAACCTAAGTGGATCATCCAATAAAACGATATCAGCATCGGAATAAACAGCTCTTGCCAAACTAACCCTTTGCCTCTGACCTAAACTTAAATTGACACCTCTTTCGCCAATTTCAGTCATATCACCATGACTTAATAATGGTAAATCCCGATTGACGCCACAAACATGTAAAACTTCTTGATATCTTCTGTTATCAAGTTCATTACCAAATAATATATTGTCTTTTAATGTAGCATTCAACAGCCAGGCATCATGTGGTACATAAGATATCGAGCCACGAATACGTCGAGTACCAGCCGATAAACGGATCTGACCCAATATCGCGGCTAAAACCGAAGATTTTCCAGCACCTACGTCCCCAACAATAGCAACTACTTCGCCTTGTTTCACTTGCATTGTCAGAAAACGAAGAGATGGATCCAGTTGTTCATCATATAAGAAATCAGCATTATCAATTACAATTCGAAGCTTTGGATCATCATCCAGTATATCGTCTCCTTGCTTAAAAGGTTCTAATTCAGTTTGTAAGAGAAATTCATTCAACCGATTAAAAGAATCCTGGGCTCCTTTATGAATAAAATTTTCGTTACCATAATGTAACAATTATATGAAATTAATAAATAAGTTAATGTATATTTGATTTGACTACCTAAAATACTCCTCACAGCGATTGGAAGCATTATAAGAGGATATCTATTAATAGGCAGTGAATATAATAATATAATATATATGTTATTGGTGTTAATGATAAACAGAGGCCGTTTATTATAAAGATATTACCTCAAAATATTAAATAAAGCTAACGTTGTGAAAATAGTCCTCGCTTTTACCCCATTTTCATCCGGATAAGCCAAATCTTTGACTATTAGACATGCCAACATTACCAATATCGGAGTGCCAAATACTACACATAAAGTCCAAACTTTAAAGACTAAACCTGTCAACAATTGTGACATTTCTTTTTGACGTTCATAGGCAATTCGATCACGAAAATAGGATTCCCAAGCGTAAAATTTTATCAATTTAATCGCTGTTAAGATTTCCGACATTATATTTATGCGCGACATGGTAATTTTGGCCATTGAATTGGCAAATTTAGATGTCAGCCAGCCGAGTTTGTACTGGATTGGGATGAGAATTATGAGGATTACCAAAGCTATATAATCATTATTATAATAATAAATTTTAATAAAATATAGCAAAACCTTTTACTGACATAAAAATAATCTAGTTATACCTGGAACTGCAGCTATGCCTAACTCAATCCAGGCAAGGATAATGATTGCTAAGAGAAGAGTGGATGTACAATTTGAATTAATCCAATAGATTTCAATAAAAAATCTTGTTGCAATAACAAGAATTATTGTTAAATATTCTGTACAGCATTCTACTACCTACCAATTATTTCAACTACCGAGCTCCATAAAAAATGAAAATTGACACAAGCTTCTGCCACCCTATTAACAATCATAATAAAGAAATTTCAATATTGGTAGTAATGTAAAATGAAAATGTCAAAGATTGAAAGGTATATAAAATATCAATAATCGGATGAGTGTGGTATGGATGATCAGATGTCAGTATGGTATAGGTTATACCTTAAGATGTTTTACTGTTTTTACCAAGATTACCTACCCGGGTATACAGAATATCAATGTGATATGGATAACCGGATGGAATATCAATGATATGGATAATCGGATGGATATGGTGTGGATGATCAGATGTCAGTAAGGTACATCATACTTTAATATGTTTGCAAAAACAATCTATACCCTGAACCCTTTTCTGACGTATACCTTACTGAATTACCCATCCATACCATACAGTTATTTGTATTACCTACCTATTATACCAAACCCTTTTCTGATGTATACCATACCAAATTACCCATCCATACCATACCCAAGTTCAGATAAATAAATTTATTTTTTTTACCTATTACAGTCATGAGAGATCAAATTCACTAATTGATAAAAAAGGAAATCGATTAGATAGAAAACAGTAATTTTTATTTATGCACAATAAAATTTATTCATAACAATTGAAAGATTAAATAGGTTACACACCAATATCGGCATTGCCACGAACATAGCTAAGCCTTAAAGATTTACGATACACCAATACCATCAGTGCGGCTCGAACCTAGGAAATAAATTATCTATAAAACTTATCCCAATTAAATTACCTCTATGAAATATTAGGCATATAGTCTTACTTGTACTCCGATTCGAGTACACTCAGAAATTAGTTGGTTGTAAAAGATGCTGCTAAAGACCGAAGTTAAGAATAATCCCATAGCATACAAATGTCCAGATGAATTAGGAATATCATTATCACTATCACTATCATCACGTTCCTCAATATAGATAATCAATTGGTTTAAAAGATAATATGAGCCGATAAAGATGGATGCTGCCCATAAGATTTTGTATAGACCGAGCAATGCATATGAAAAACCAAATGTTTTAATCAGAGCATGCCGTATTGAACGTTCTTTTCTATGGACGCAAGTTTTTGTATTTTAGAATAAAGGTTGTAAACAACAAAAACTTGATGCCCTACTGAAAAATTTCCTGTAGAAGATCGCGAGCATCTATGCGCTAGTTACCGGCGATCTATACCGAGGGTTTTCAAGTATGGAGGTTCTGAGTCAATTTAGAAAGGGCAAGGAAATGAAGAGGCGAGACACACCTATCATGTTCCTCGTTCCATGCGCGCTCTAATTTATCTCCAACAACACCAGCTCTTTCAGATTCTTGTAAAGATAAGTTGTCACTGTCCAAATTGTGTCTTCTTGAAACTTTTAATAGACCAAATATCCAAAGAAATAACCAGGAAGAAAGAAAGTTGATTCGGTTGGCACCATATAATGTTACTTGAGGTTGAGAAGATTTCGGGAGATTTACGGTTTGTGGTGGCATTGTATCTTATCAAATTATTAAATTAAAAAAAATCTACTTTCATAAAACATCAATATGGGCATTCGAGGTTAGTTTGTTTCACAAATTGATCATGAGAATCTAATATAATTAATTTGTGACCTGTTCTTTAGTCATATGAGGCAACAATGCGATCATATCCATTACAAATTCTGACTTCGAATATTTTATATTAATGATTTGGATTTAGACCTCTATACAATTTGAAATCTATATAAGAAATTTAAAATTATTTTTAAATACAAAAATCTGTTAGATGCTCTAAAATTATTTTTATTTGATATTAATTAGAAAAAATTTTTTTAAAACATGTTATAAAATTTCTAAATTATATTTTTTGAAAAAAATTCTATAAAATTATAAAAAAATATTTAATAATACAAATTTTAAATATATATTTGAAAATATAGTTAATATATTAAATTAGTAGATAATTTATATTATTTTGTAATATATTGTACTATACTCAATGAACAAAAGTCTAAAATTGGATAATAATCAATGCAATTGAGAGATAATTTCAAGTGTTTATTGTGCAACAAGAAAAAATTCAATTACAATATATATTAATTTATTAAAAAGCTAAAATCTCAAGCTTTCAAACAAACTAAAAAAATTGATGTCAAATCCAACTAATATTTGTCAAAATTGTTAACTTATAAATTTTAAATATAACAAGATAATCAGTACTTGAAAGTGTGATTTTTCTGAAAAAATAATTGGAGATATTCTAGAATAATTCAAATTTATTGTTTATAATGTTATTAGTAAATACAAAAAGTTTGATTAAACTATTATTATCATTTAGAGCAGTAGATTATAATAAACCTATTTAAAGATTAATTAATATTATTAAAGAAGATCAATAACAAGTAATTGATAAAATTATCAAAAAATTCAATATTACTATGATTATTTCTGTTAATTTCAAAACTATATAATGTATTTTTTACAAATTTGAATTTTATAATTGGTTTGAGAAAATTTTTTGTATTTGAAAAAAATTGTTAAAAGCAAGTAAAGTAGTATTTAAAAAAAAAGATTGAATTAGTAAATAAAAATTAGTAATTTGAAATAATAAATCAAGATATTTATTATTTTAAAATAATTTTTGGTAATAAATTTGACATTAATCACATGAAAAATATAATATTAATTATTTTTTTTCTAATACAAAATCAAATAATTAGAGAGTAATAATATAGAAATATTTTATTCAAAATATATTTGGATTATTAATTAAAATTAATAGTACAATAACTAATTCAAAGTATTATTATCATTGTAATATATTATATATTAGTTAACATAGCATAGCGGGCTTTCTCTGTGATTGGCTATTTTTTTGCAGATCATTTTGTATCAATTTTGTTCAATCAGAGACAGCGTAGATTATTTTGAATCTTATTGGACAATGAGTTGCTTACATTTACTAAGCCGCCAAACGAAGCATGGAAAACCTGATATCAATATAATCATAGATCACGAAAAAAGCAATCAAAATGGATTTCTCGCAGGTAATTGCATTAGTGTATGTGCATTTATGCTTAAGAATTATTTAATAAAACACTTGTCTTTAAATTTTAAAAGAAAAA